ATTTGACCTTATGCAGTTGCGAGCGCCGTAAAACCTCATTCTAAACTAAAACTAACTCCAATCTCCTCTTTCACTTTATCTCTTTGCTTTATATCTCTCTGTCTGTCTGTCTGTCTGTCTGTCTGTCTGTCTGTCTGTCTGTCTGTCTGTCTGTCTGTCTGTCTGTCTGTCTGTCTGTCTTTCTTCGTTTCTCTCTCTCTCCGTTTCTATCTGTCTCTGTGTCTCTCTCTAAATCTCTTTCATTATCTATCTCTCTGTTGCCAAATCAAGAAATTCACTCTTTTTCTCATATGCCCCTCTCTTCATCTCTCTCTCTCTCTCTCTCTCTCTCTCTCTCTCTCTCTCTCTCTCTCTCTACCTCTCTCTGTCCGTCTCTCTCCATCACCCCTCCCCTCTATCTCTCTCTTTATTTTTTTTATATCACCTCCCCCTCGGTCTGTTTCTACTATCTCCTCTTTTTTCCTTTTCAATCTCATTTTCTTTTCAACTCTCCCCCTCCACACACACACACACACACACACACACACACACACACACACACACACACACACACACACACACACACACACACACGCATACACACACACTCACTCAGGAAGCTCTCGCGGCCTAGAGTTTAAGGTGTTGGCCTCTCATTCAAAGGTCCCGGGTTCGAATCCGGATAACGACCGAAAAATTTTATTCTCTAAAAGTGTCTCCTTTCTCCCCATTTCCTGCTCTCTAGCAGTGTTCTGTCGAGTGCTTTCGTCTCCTCTTTCTGTCCCCCACCCCCGTCACATTTTTTACCCCCTCCTCTGGGCTCCTGACTCTTCTTCTTCCTGCTGTCTTTCAACCGCATCCCTGGTCTTCTGGTACGAAAGATCTACACCTAGCCTTCTTGGACAAAGGCGAAAAATCTCGTGTGTTGCGCACGTTAAAGATCCCCTGGTGGTCTAAAATCGATAAAAGTAGGCTTCAGCCGCCACCAGGGCAAAATTCAAAATTCCCTACCAACTGAAAAAGTTTAATGTGTCCGGCGCGCTCATATGACCTTATGCAGTTGCGAGCGCCGTAAAACACTTACCAAAACACACACACCCACCCACCCA